TGGAATCTCACCCGCCCTCATGAGCAATTGGTAATATCCAACTACTAATTCGAGCGCACTGTACTTCGTACATCGTATTGTTCTGAAGAACATCCTTTCTAGGAGTTGGCGCTTGAGCCGGAATGGTGGCAGCGTTGAGCTTATTGTAAGCAAGAACGATACGCCACTTGCCGTTCGGCTTCCGAACACAAAGCGTGGGTGTCGAATGGGGAGACTTGCTCTCACGCACCATTCCTGCGTTGTGCTTCTCACGGAAAAAGGCGTCAATGACGTCGCACTGCTCATTGAGCAGGGCCATTGGCGTGTTACGCAGTATTTGGTTTCCGGAACCAGGTCAATCTCATGACGCACACTCGGTCCGGAGGTAAGCCCAAATACGGGTCTTGGGAGACGATGTCTTAAAATTCATTTAACAAAAAACAGTACGGATCCAAGGGATTCCGTAGGATCGACGATCCACTTCGTGCATTCAGCACTCTCTTGGTGTCCTCCAAGACAGCTTTAGCCAGAAGCGATGACGAGTGCATCTCCTCGTCAGGTCATACAATGACCACTTCGGCCAAATCGCCTGCCTTCAAGGCACTGCCGAACTCGGGATGTCTCGTCCAGCTCAAGAAGAGCATCTCCTGCAGGCAAAGCCTCGAGACGGATGTCGCCATCTTCCTCCCCCGTCATACCGTTGACGAGAGTGAATAACTGTGCGCCATCGTCTACGGTAGACACACCCTGGATTAGGGTCGACGCCCGGCGCCTTGCAGCCAGCAAACGGCGTCGTTGTCGCCTATGTTCAGAGGTTCTATGTCTCGGTGAGACAAGGGTGAACACGCACTCCGCGTCGTACGGTGCCACCCTCACTTTCCGCCCCTTTGGAGCTCCGATGCTATCTACAACATCCGACGAAGAACTGCTAACCCCGCAGTATTCTCCCAGTGGATACTGTGCCACTCCACGCGCATCTGAAGGGTCGTGCCCAAGATGCCTCGGACTCTGTCCGACCACGCCATCAATGGCATGCAGCGACTGCCTCGCAACGAGAGTAGTGCTAAGTGGTTTTCGTGCCGTTCCACGCTCATCACGAGGGCCTCGCACTCGATGCATCATACTGCTGACGAGGGTGAATAACTATGCGCTATCGTCTACGGTAGACACACCCTGGATTAGGGTCGACGCCCGGCGTCTTGCAGCCAGCATACGGCGT